ACTCCTTTGTTGCCCGGGCGGTGTGTTTGGGATCATTGTCGTGTTGGAAGACCCAGCCACGTTTCATCTTCAAAGCTCTCACTGATGGAAGGAGGTTTTGGCTCAGAATCTCACGATACATGGCCCCATTCATTCTGTCCTTAACACGGATCAGTCGTCCTGTCCCCTTAGCAGAAAAACAGCCCCAAAGCATGATGTTCCCACCCCCATGCTTCACAGTAGGTATGGTGTTCTTGGGATGCAACTCAGTATTCTTCTTCCTTCAAACACGACGAGTTGAGTTCATACCAAAAAGTTCTACTTTGGTTTCATCTGACCACATGACATTCTCCCAATCCTCTGCTGTATCATCCATGTGTTCTCTGGCAAACTTCAGACGGGCCTGGACATGCACTGGCTTCAGCAGCGGAACACGTCTGGCACTGCAGGATTTGATTCCCTGCCGTTGTAGTGTGTTACTGATGGTGACCTTTGTTACTGTGGTCCCAGCTCTCTGCAGGTCATTCACCAGGTCCCCCCGTGTGGTTCTGGGATTCTTGCTCACCGTTCTCATGATCATTTTGACCCCACGGGATGAGATCTTGCGTGGAGCCCCAGATCGAGGGAGATTATCAGTGGTCTTGTATGTCTTCCATTTACTGATAATTGCTCCCACAGTTGATTTTTTCACACCAAGCTGCTTGCCTATTGTAGATTCACTCTTCCCAGTCTGGTGCAGGTCTACAATTCTTTTCCTGGTGTCCTTCGAAAGCCCTTTGGTCTTGGCCATAGTGGAGTTTGGAGTCTGACTGTTTGAGGCTGTGGACAGGTGCCTTTTATACAGATAATGAGTTCAAACAGGTGCCATTAATACAGGTAACGAGTGGAGGACAGAACAGCTTCTTAAAGAAGACGTTACAGGTCTGTGAGAGCCAGAGATTTTCTTTGTTTGAAGTGACCAAATACTTATTTTCCACCCTGATTTACAAATAAATTCTTTAAAAATCCTGCCATGTGAATTCATGGATTTTTTTTCACATTCTGTCTCTTACAGTTGAAGTGTACCTATGATGTAAATTACTGACCTCTGTCATCATTTTAAAGCCTTATTTATGCTTCTCCGTCTGCGTCAGTGCAGAGACACGCAACGCCATTATCCGTCCTTGCGTAGGGCTCCGGCGGGCATGCAAGTACGTACGGAGTCGAGCCCACTTTTCAAACATCCGTCGAACGAGACGGATTACGCAAGCTTGTGATTGGTCAGGATGCCGCTGTTGTTTACAGCGCCGCCATTGCAAAGAGATCCGAGGATAACTAGCGGCAGACACGGAGAAGTTTGAAGAATACCTCGCGACAAAACTCTAAAAATATGAACGTTTCATCCTCCCGTGACTGGAGGAGTGAAAAGATGCGCAGCAAGCGTTTTATTTGTGTACGGAAATGACAGGAAACGTGGGTTTAGAGGTGGGGAGCGCATGAAGCGGTGGGAGAATGAGAGACTAATATGTCCGTGTTAAAAGTCTCTTATAAACACAAAAACACAATATAAACACACGATCTTGGACCGATACATGACAGGATACCACAGAACAGCGCTACGCCCTCTGTTGTCCTGCCGGGAAATTGCTTTGCAACACTCCCCAGGAGACGGAGAAGTATGAGAGCAAAACGCTTCCATCAATCCGTGCGTGTCTGTCCCTTGCGGAGCTGACGGAGAAGCATAAACCAGGCTTAAGAGGGAGAACTTGCACAATCGGTGGCTGACTAAATACTTTTTTCCCCACTGTATTTTCAAGTGTGCAAACTCAGTTTTTAATTGAAAGCATTTACTTTTCTTTGGTTGATATTTTCATTCAGCAATTATTTCCCAATACCTTCCTTAATTATGCTTCAGCCTCTTGGCTGATAGAATATTGTCTGTTACAATATGTATGTCTTTCTGAAACGACCTTGCAGTTTTAACCCAGGCACAGAGGAACGGGAAATTCTGTGTCAAAGCATTTTAAAAGTTCCCAAGCTGTGAGAATTGAACCAATTTAAACTTTATAAATGTAAATTCCCTACAACAGCTTGAATCTGCTGTCTCGTTTTAATTTTGCTTCCAGACAATTTCTCCCATTGTTCGGATCAGTGTCCGCTAATCGGAGATCTGAACAAGTTTCTACATTTTGACAGACGCCAGAAACATTCAGTTGATGACTAATGATATTTTTAAAGTGTTCAAAATGCAGTTTTGAATTCAGCAGGTACTGCACACCAGTTCATGTCCACCCGGGTGTGATGGTCATCAGCCGAACTCCCTTGTCTTGGTTTTAAACGTCAGAGGTGAAGATTTTAAAACAAAATAAGGAGATAAAATGCAATCTGACAATAGTCATTAGTTTAAATATGTCTGGGATTACTGTTTGACCAAACATACACTCTTAGCTTTTCCTTTTTTTATTTGGGCACTTATTTTACTACCAAGTACTGATGGACAGTAAATTTCTCAAATTGAGGGATTTCACTAAAACCCTTTCCCTTTCAGCCACTAAACGTGACACAGTTTATAGTTCAAATTATTTTAATCACCAGATACCAGAAATTAAATATTGGTCGTGTCCAACCTTTTAACGCACGAATTATGAAACCTTCAACCTCAGTTATTTAACAATTATTCTCCTTCATCTTTGTGTGTGAATGAAACGAATTTCAACAAATATTGTTTGTAACGCCTAATAATTTGCAAATAATTTATTACATGTTCACCTCAGTGGACACAACAAATAAGTAAATTACAATTTTGAGAAGCCGTTCAAATTATATTTTCCATTTTCATTTTCTAGTTATAACCTTCAGGCCTCAATTGATGAGACCTTATTAGCTCAGAGCACAGCTGCGGATGTTTTGATTTTCAGGCAGGCCTTGCCTCCTCTGTCTCACATTTCAACCCTTTTTTTCCTCCACCGCTCTGTTTCTCCCTCGCAGCATAATACATTTGTGACACGTCAGCAGTTATCAAAAACACGTCTTCCATCAATTCTCTGATAACTTTCAGATCCTTTCCACATATACTCGATCTACACTTTCATCCATATTTACTCAAAAGGTATTTTGTGAGTTCTTTTTTCCCCCAAACATTGATACCACATGTACAAAGCTTTCCATACTCTGTCATTTATCCAAGCAACGATTTAAGCAAACAACATCTAATACAACAAACAACAACAACAAGATAACCAGAACAACGTTTCTATTCAAGGCTAATTTCACACCCATGGACCTACTGCACAGTACTACATGGATCCTGTTCCAAAAACCAATTTAACCTCTTAGTTATCACACCAGGGTTGCGTTTATATTTTGGCAAAAACGCTCAAAAAACCAAGCCAATGCAGTATTCCCGGAATCTGTTTATCTTTCTCTCTGACCACACAGCTAAGAATGACAACTAAAGTTGGGTTTGTATTAGACGCTAAACGCTCAAAAGCCAGGCCACCTTTCACTTAGGCCACCCCTCAGTTATCACCCCGGTCCATTCTCTACCAAAACAGCATTCCAGGAATCTGTTTGCGTTTATATTTTCTGGCAAAACGCTCAAAACCCGAATTTAACCCCTGGTCACCTAGGATTTTATCTCGGTACCACAAGACAAAGCGACAAAAAACAACAAACTTGTCTCACCGAATCTCTCTCCACTCAGGGCTTGAGTAATTCGTGGGTCTGCATTCCTCCTAACGACGTCAAGGCCTCACCGGCCCCCCAGCAAACTCAGCGCTACACCCCCCTAAATATACTAAATATTTAAAAAAATGACCAATAAGATGTGATAATTCCATATAAATCTAAAATATCAACCTGATTATCTTTGAATGTTTTATCAGAAGATTCTAGGTTTCTTTGCTTATTCAGGGATCATAAACACACTTCATATTAATTTAAGAGTTAAGTATAGTTTATAGAAATGAATTTAATTATTTTTCCTAAACCAATGATTATACATGACAAGATATGAATAATGAGATGTGATGTAATGGATATGAAGTGATTTAATGTGATGTGTGAAATGTTGTAGGCTAATGGAAGCTAGACGTTTTAGCAAAACCGTTCTTTGTATCTGGGAGAGTTTGTGAAGTCTGGATTGTAAAAGAATTTGTTGTTTATAAACTACAGTTGTTTATTAAACTCATCTGGTGCCAGGCTATGATACCCTTGGTATGAGTTGCTCCTGGCGGTCTGGAGGAGTACGATCCGAGTGGTAAGGTCACCAGACATCGAAACCACTAGTAGCTTCCTCTGAGTTCTGCTTCACCGGCCATGAGATGCAACCCGGGGTCTGCAGGTTGGATGTCTGAGGTGTGACGTAGCTCTTAAGAGCGCTGCTGCGTCTGTAATCACAGCATCGCAGAGAGGCTTTTACTGGAGATCAAAGGAGATGGATTCAAAAAGGCTTCTTACCCGATTTGACTGAATCGTGAGTCCGTTAGAAACTGAATTAATCGGGAAGTAATTCTTGTTTTATTGAACTCATTGTTTATAAATTTTGACAAGTTTGGCAAATCAGAATTTGACATGTTTGAGGCTTCACCAAAACATTTTCAGAAGTATGTGTATGCGTGAGCGTGAGGGAGTGGACAGCTCCTGGATCCCTGGGACTTGGAGCTCCCTCCATCTCCTTCACATCTTTGGGGGGCAGATCTGTGGCCCCTCACACTCTCTATAGAATGCTCCTATAGAGAAACCTTACATATACAAGCGCGTGTACACACACAGGTGCTCATATGGTGCTCTCATAAGTATGGACTTGGTCATTTTCAACACGTCTTAAGGCTGTGGTTGGCACTAAATGCACTGTGATTTATTATCGTGTGGTCCAGCAGTTCTGAATAATTACAGACCAATATCAAATTTATGTATAGACATTCTAAACGTGGAAAAACCCATCCACCAGATCCATCATTTTCTATCTGTTTGGTTTTAGGAATTTGTTTAGTCTTGCCAACCTCCCTGACTGACTACATGTATTTCTACCTGCGTTACAGAGGATAAGGGCACTTCTTTACGCATCTCTGATCAAATAGAGATGTCTGCTCAGGTGGCATCAGGCATGGCTTACTTGGAATCCCAGAACTACATTCACAGAGACCTGGCAGCCAGGAATGTCCTTGTTGGAGAGAATAACATCTGCAAGGTGGCTGACTTTGGCCTTGCCAGAGTTTTTATGGTAGGTTCAACACCTGAAATTGGATTTTAGGTTTTTTCTTAGTGTGATGAAATCTTAACATAAATGTAAATGTCTTTACATAAACTTTTGTTTTTAGAAAGAGAATGAATATGAAGATGAAGATTGTGTGTATGAACCTAAAGAAGGAACCAAATTCCCTGTAAAGTGGACTGCTCCCGAGGCAATCAATGGCAACAGATACACCATCAAATCTGATGTTTGGTCTTTTGGGATTTTGTTGTATGAGATCATGACATTTGGTCAGATGCCTTATCCAGGTGAGATTTTACTTCCTTTTCATGGTCAACAATGCCCTCCTGTTGGACCAACATTAATGTCCTCTTATTCTTCTAGGCATGTCAAACATCCAGGCAGTCCAGTGGTTAAGCAAGGGCCACAGGATGGCATGTCCACCTAAATGCCCAAAGGTCTTGCATGACATCATGTTAAAGTGTTGGAAGGAAAATGAATCAGACCGGCCCACATTTGAGACACTGCAGTGGCAACTGGAAGATTTCTTTGACCTGGACACGACTGCCTATGACGACTCATCTCAATACTAGAACAAAAACTTTGTTTTTACTAAACAAAAGACTGAAAGAAACTCAGAAAATCAAAATCTGTAATAAGTTAGACCATTGATTCTGTAACAAGCAGGGAGCTTTACACATTTTAACACCTGAATGTGCAGTGTACAGGTATGAACTAAACTAAACTCCGAAGGAGCTGCTTCTGCCGGTTCTGTTGGCTCCAGCCACACAACACATTCTCTCGTAAATACCACCTGAGACGAGTTGAGCAAGATTCACCTAGCAGCTCAGTTTGCCATTCCTCTCTTTGTCATGGAGCCACCAGCAAACTCACAACACTTTAGTTTATAAAAGAATTGTTTTAGTTTGTCTAAAAGTTATATTTTAACATGTGAAAACAATAAAAACATCTGTTGCGTTAGTGCTCTGTATATTTACCGATTTTAAATTTGGGTACACTTCTTTTTACCAGGAGACACCGTGTTACCCTGGTATGTTTGTATTAAGCCTCAGAACACACACACATACACACCTTTGTGCTTTTGCACCACTGCTGGGTTAGGGTCTGAAGGCTGTAGCTCAGCTTTCTGACACACCAACTGAGCCAGTTCGATCTGCTTCACAGTTTACTTGTACGTTGTAATCGATTTGTTTTCACCAATGTCTTAATGTATTTTAACTATCAAATGACAATTAAAATGATTTCTATTTATTATCATTTAGCTGTAATGTTATTATTCAGTGTTTTAATCAAACTAACAGAAAATTGTGACGTCAGAATTTTTTCTGCTGATTACCAATCTGACTACTTCTACTTGAGTCATTACAGTATTGGTTTATCAGAAACACTTAACGAATATCAAGAATGTCTGCTGATAATGCCTCAAGTTCCTCAGGGCAAAGTGACGGAAGACGCAGCCTGAAGTAAACTTCTACGTTGGCGATATTTTGTTTCTAGTGCGATAGATTTCATGCATCACTGCGTTACGTTTTCCCATAGAGCACGGGTATAAAATTCTGGTCCTGGAAGGCTGGTATCCAGCATGTTTTAGTAGTTAATCTGCTCCAACACACTAGATTCACTGGTTGAATCGCCTGTTCAGCAGCTCATCAGGCTCTGCAGAAACCTGTTAATCACCTGCTGACTGAAATCAGGAGTGTTGGAACTAAAACATGCTGGATACCGGCCATCCAGGCTGGAATTAAATACTTCTGCAGCTTTGAAAGAGCCATCCTCTGTAGCAGAGTAAACACTTAAAGTGTGAGGAAATTTAGTATCAACTATTGAGCCTGTTGTGTATTAGACGCGGACATTTTTTTGGGATCCCAGTGGGTCACGAGTTTCACAGGATTCCTGAGAGTAGGAGTTAAGTTATTCGTATCTAATCGTGTAACTGGGACAAAATGTAGTTTCATCTTCAGTTTGAAAATATTTCCCTTTAGATTGTCGTTTGGTTGCTGGTTTAATGTCTGCAGGGTTCGGTCCGCCTCTAGTTGCAGTCCAGTTGGATGTCCAGTTCTTTTTTCCCCAGAGAAAAGGTGTACGGGAAAAACTCGCAAATCTAATAGCTATTAGTTTGATAAGTAAATAAGATGGAGAAAGACCGAGTCGGTATCTGCAAATTTAAGTTGATTTTATATAGATGAACTAATTTATAGTAACCGAGCCTCTGCTGACATAATCTTAAATAGTTGTTGATCCATGGAAATGTGTCAAGTTTTGCCTGCATCACCAATCTTACCCATGATTCTCACGTTGTGTTCATTTAGGATATCACTGTATCTAGGCTGATTGTGTGAAGAACAAACACACTGGCCTTCTGTACAGGACAGAAACATGATGGGGATCAAATAAATGATCTGACAGACCCCCTGAAGAGGTGACGAAGGTACCTCTCCCATAAGAACTGCTGGATAACTTTTGATCAGCCGAAGTCGCCCGCCTGGGACCGTAGCTTTGCGCCAAAGTGGCTGAGTGCACTCTGAACTAGGGATGCACTGATCCACATCTTTTTATTTCTGATCCAATAACTTAATTTAGATATCTGCCGATACTGATATGAAAGCAAATACACCTCTGTTATCAAAATAATATGATTATTATCAGGAGGAGCAATGTTTGTCCTGGCTGTGGAACACTGGAGCAGCCCGACACTGTTTTCCAAATTATTAGTCTGAAATATTACCAGGAACCACTTTGGAGCCAACTTAATCCATAAAACGAATCCAGGTGACACTGTCTGGATTTCCTGTCTCTTTAAGGTGCTGCACATGTTGATTAGCTGGGCCAGGTGTGCCTCATTAAAGGCAGAGGACTTGAGCAGGGTGTGTCAGGATCTTAGCCAAACATTTGCTTCACAAAATGAGGAAAAATGACCTTACTGCCACAGAAAAGTGAAATTGTGGAGTGCCTTGGCCAAGGTATGACCACACGTAAAATTGCTCAATGACTGCAGCGTTCCCACCAGACAGTGACCAGATTTGTGTCTGATTCACAGCACAAGCGTTCCCGGTCTGATAAAGGCGGAGTGAGGTGCCTTTCCAGGGCAGAAATCGAGCTGCTGAGATGGGTCTGTCCAGCAGCAGGCAGGTCCTTCACCAGGTTTCTGTCCCACTGGTCTGTTGGACATCGAGGTGTTGGATTCTGTGGATGCTGGGACGTTGGAGGAAACCACCCATCCAGCCTCCACTCTTCAAATATCAGAAGCAGAAATGTCTGCAGTGGGCTACTGATTACACGAATGCTGACTTCTCCATAGTCTTCTTCATGGATAAGTGCCGTGCAGTGCTGGATGGTCCGGATGGTCGGAGCCGTGTGTGGCTGCTGGACGGCCTGCCTGTCCCCACAAGGACGAGGCATCAACAGGGTGGTGGAGGAGGCATGATATTTCTGGGCTAGAATCCTCCATGGTGAGTTGCTGGGACCTGAGTACCAGAAGGTGTGGAAATGACAACTGACATGCATGTTGAGTTTCTTAACTCATTCGCTGCCAGCGTTTCTCACCGTTTTTACTGTTTTTTTTAAGAGTCACAGAACGTTGCGTGCTAGCATGATGTCTATGCCAAAACAACCAAAACAAAGAGGAGACTCACCTCTTACATCAGGAAGAAGCCGTGTGTTTCGAGCGTTATCCGTTCTTTCATAATCCGTTGTCGAATTGTGATCGGCAGACGCTTTTCCGGTTCGCGCCTCACTTTTCTTACAGGAACGGCCCAAAACGATCTCCAAACACATGGATGTGTTGCTTCCTGATCATGTGATCTGACGTATGCGGATGAAGATCGGCTTCAGGGCTGAGATGCTTGTTCTCTCAGCGCGGGGGCTCGTTCCGATGCTCAAACAGTAAAAAAAAATGCAAATGACGACTTTAGTCGTCATTTGCAGTGAATGAGTTAAGAGTCACCTTAGTACCAAAGTAAAAATGCAAATTTCTACCAGAAAATAATTTTCATCCACAACAATGTCTATCTCATGCAGCCAGGAACATAGCATCTTGGCTGCCCGAGGTTGGAATCTGGGGCAAAAACTCACCTGATTTAAACCTTATTGAAAACTTCTGGAGCATTGTCAAACGGAAAGTACGTTGGAAGTAAGCAGTTCACCTCCATGCATGAGCTCTGGGAGGCCATCGAAGCCACCTGCAGGGACATCCAGGCAGACACTAGCAAGATACTCACGGGGTTCATGGAGAAAAGACTGGCCAAAGTCCTTGCCAATGATGGTTGCAATGGAACTGTTTAAACTAAAAATATTTTACAGTCTTGAAGATTATTTAGACCTAGAAAATTTCTGAAGAAAATATGAAAGAGGCCTGCCAAGATTATGGCAACATGGTGAGAAGCCAGGTAGCTATAGCTCACCTCGATGCTAGTTGAGCATTGCTCGTATATAAACCCAAACATTACTAACCAAACAACTGGTATTAACACTGAAGTAGACATGAAAGCAACTCAAAGGTGAAAAAGGTGAGAAATTTTTTGAAAGGGGCCTGCCATCTGGCACAAGTCGAGGTGGCCATGTGTCTAAGGCCTAGTCCACACGTAGCCGGGGTTTTTAAAAAACGAATATCCACCCCTCCAAAAACTTGCATCCACACCATCTCGTTTTAGAAAAAAAACTCTGTCCACACGTACCCGGATAAATACGTTGTTAAGGACATGCCAGACCTGTAGGCGGCAGTACTTCCCCCGTTCTTAACCTCGTCCTTCGTCTGTGGTCTTCCACAAGGAGCAGTAATTCCGCTTGCAAAAACAAACAAGCAAAAAGCGCTTGGACAATTGATAAAGCGAGCGCAGCTCTGAGGGCTTCCATGCTGTCGGCTAGTGTAAACACAGGTCGCACACGTGATGTCAGCAATTTTTTGTCGCGGAAAGTGACGTTGCGGACCTTAAAACTCCGGTTTTGTCTGTCCACACGCAGACACCCAAAACGGAGAAAACGCAGATCTTCACTTTGGCCGGATTTCTTAAAAAGATCCGTTTTCGTGTGAAAAAACTCCGTTTTCGTGTGGACGACAGGCCAAAACGTAAAAAAATATCTACGTTTTGGCAGATCCCCGGCTACGTGTGGACAGGACCTTAGACTGCAGGTTGTGCTCCTCACAGTGAGTGCTGTGTGTGCGGTTAACAGCAGTCTGTCTTTGGGCTGGTGTGGCAGCTCCCAACTGCAGTCGGTTGGAGTTTACTTCCCAGTGTCCAGACTGACTCGCGCATGCGGGAAGCCCCTGCTTGTTGATTCTACCCACCAATTGAAGGCCCCCCCCTTAATGGTAGGCATGAATTTCAGCTGGCCAATCAGTTGACAGTGGGTGTGTTGGGTAAGTTCAGACTACCAGGACAGGAAGTCAGTAAAAATGAACACTGGAGCACAGAAAGCACACACAGGCTACCCAGATGTGGACACACTTTACCATACCAGTGGTGGGCTGTGTTGACCCAGATGTGTCATTTGTTTACATGGACTAATAAACCGGTCTAACCAGAAACAAGAATTAGCTTACTCATCACTTAATTCAGTTGATTTATTTAGCATTTGTTCACAACTTGAGTTCTCTCAAAGCACTAAACAAAAAAAAACAAAAACAAAAAACAATCAGGTCCAGACTGAAGCCTCCACTTATCTCAACAGTATTTTTAGTCTGCAACTTAAGAAGCTACACTACCTTTTACAGCTCTGCTCATGTGCAGGATGGATTGCAATGGGCTTATTGTGACATGGAGGGCTTATTTATTTCGCACCTTTAGACCAGAAAACATCCTTGGGGCAGATCAGCAAAGTCGGTCCATTCCAAAACGGGATGTGCACATGTTGGTCGGGAAGGTCTCTGGGCCGTACAGTAGGCCGTAGATCCCTGGATACTTACAAAAATGAGAAGAGTGAAACACAAATTTTTATTTGAGAAACTGAAATGCTTTAATTAGCCAAATTGAACATGTAACTAATGAACCCAAATAACAATCAATCAATCAATCAATCAAAGCTTTATTTATAAAGCGCCTTCCGCAACCCTGTCAGGAAGCCCAAGGCGCTGAACATGGTACAGTACAAAGTCAAAGTGAATAAATCCGAAAATAAAAGCAATTCAAATTACAGATTACAAATTACAAAAAAGGTGAAACATTCTAGTAGAATACAAATGTGTAAAACAAGGGAAAAATTGAACCAATGAAGACTGTGAGATAAAATCAACATAAATGACGGCCTAAATCAAATACATT